AAACAAACATCATATTTTGATTGTCTGTTTCTGGCACACCACATCATTGCAAAATAACCAACATAGCCTCTTCTTTTCCTTCAGTGTTATTGCACCATTAAGATACGAATGCCAGAAATCAGTCAAATGTCATAATTCTGTCAAATCATTCAGGCTTGAAACCTCATTATGATGTCTTGATCTGCTCTATACCTCTTCTGGACATGTTTGATGAACTTGCGTCCCTTTAAAAAACTTGATATATAGTGCTTATATAAGCTTTATGTAAATATACTACACATAAATTTGCTGTCAATCATTAAACAACTAAACAAAACAAAAATTGATGACAGGTGTACATAAGGGTTAAAACAACACTTGGTAAGCAAAGTATGAAAATGAATAATAAACAATAGGCATTCAAATGGGTGCTCTAGGTGAGCAGCTGTCTGACACACCAGTTCTCACACAATCTCCGTCGCCATTTTACAAACCTATTCACACTGCTTATTCATTCTCCCGTCCCCCATCTTCAATAAGTACCTCTGCCGCACTGACCTGAGCTTTGAGAGTCACCGTACACAAATCACTTCGGGGGGTACCATTTATTTTTTTATAAATGTATAGCTGTATTTCTCTCCTGTATATATCAGAAAACAATTTCTCCTTTAATGTTGCTCACAATAAATGAGCATGAGCGTGTTTTAATTTAGTTCCCGTTCAAAGGGCGACCGTTATTACCACAATTCAAAGCCAAATGGACAGTCATTTGAACAAAAGGCTGCCGTAGAGACAACAAAGCGCTTGTTCCAAGATGAATAAATTATTTACTCAAATCTTATATTTAGGTTCTCTCATACTAGTGCCTGCCTCCCTCGACTCGCAAAGTAATTTCTTACGATAGTGAGGTCTAGTGTTATGCTCGTAAACTCTAGCCTGAACATCAATACATGCAATACAACCCTACAAAAACACCATTATAATAATGAGTTCGATCACACCTGCATTTTTCAAAGACTACGTTAGTGTGTTTTGATTGTATTTTTTACAAATACGTAACTGTGCTTACGTGTAGGTAATGAATGTGGTCAATAAAGTCGTTAGACAATCTTTGGTCAAGGCAAGATTAGCGCTTAGAATACACATTGTTTCAAGGCAGCTTTACAAAAAAGATCATGACGTTACTGTTTATAATATCTTAATGCATTATACTCGCATTTAGTAGATGACAGCTGAGTCTGAGGAATAATATTGTTCACATTTTGAGACGATAAAAACAATCAAGCAGTTGACATTTACTTTAGTATCGCTTTATGTGAGAATACAGTATGTATGATCAAGTTTGATATGTGTATATACAACTTTATATAGACCTAGGCGATAATATAGTTTACGTTTTATAAACAATAACGTCAGCTGTGTTCAACGTGTAATATACAATATTGCGATGTCACTCAAGAAATCTCCCCACTCTTTATCAGACGACAGATCAAGACAGATTCACACCATTTAGTTTTAACAAACCGTGTTATTCTGATTCAGCAACCCGTGAATTCAATGAAAAACGACACCTCGCATTACCTGAATCCATAGGTCAGACATTGGCATAAAACCCATAAGGTATATGTGGGTGCAACGTGCAGTCATTGGTGGTTTTGAAATTATTATTTTTAAACACTGAGATCAATTAAAATAATTTCTTGTTGCCATAAAAGACAAAATAGCCCGTGTATATATTCACATCACAACCATACACAAACTTCTGACTGACAACTTAAAACGTCCGATTGGTGCAGTAGTAGGAACTGTCGCCACATGTTCACAGACTAGCATAATGATAATTTGCAGGTTGGTTATGAACATTTTCATACATGAACTCGTGTTAAAAGTATCCCCAGGCTGATATTGTTTGACTTCATTTAGACGCAGCCACGGTCACCGCTTGCCTGCCATTCATGACATCTGAGCCGAGGAGGCTCAAAACAACACCCACTGTAATGCCTTTAGTAGTAGAAGACACTATTTAGCCCATTCAACTCACTCGCAGTATTTTTTCAACTATCCAACAACAGACGCTACAACCTTTAAGTTGTGCTACTGACGTCTGGGTTGTAAAATAAAGCAAGCTGAAGCCAATATACGCAGCTACAAGTAATGCGTTTGAATGCGACCCTCCGTGCTAATTAGCAACCTAGCGACGACTGCGACTCTCGAAAGCTAACTCACTAGCAAGCGTACGTTAAGTGAGCCAAAACAAGCCAACTCAATAGCAGCGTTGCTGCGAAAGTTGTAGCACACATTTAATGTGTTAAACTCTGCACCGGTGTGGTGCTATTGTTTCCCCCCAATCACTTGAAGGAAGCACATTGCTGGATGTTGTCTCGCTCACACAAATCGTCACTTACCGTTTGAAGTGCTCGATAATTTTTTCCTCTCGTACATTTTCTGGTAAATTCCCCACCCATAAATGTCTGGTTTCCCGGACCATACTGCGTTTTTGTGTCCCCCGATCATACAGAAGATTTTACTGAGTTAAATCCGACTGAATGTGTGTTACGGTGGGGCGAGTAGTTCCTCTGACTCGACACTATGATTGGACCCGCTTGCTCTTGAAAGCTGTGTTGACTGCGAGAGCCTGAACATTGCTGTCGAGGAGCGCGCTCCGGTTCTTGACGAGATCGCGCATATGCAATGAGCACTCGGAATACCACATGGATCAAATCGGATAAGAGATAGTTTATTGAATATCACTTTTAAATGCTAAAACGTGTATATACGTTGGATGTATGTCCTGGTTAAGGTTCCAAGGTAAAAGTCAGATTTGGTTTCCTTTGCTTTAGTTTGACATTTGACAGCCTATTTGTAGAACAGGACTTTAAATAGGCTATGCAAGTTAATCATAATCTTGGGGTGTAGGCTACAATGTTTGTGACTTGTGGTGGTTTACCACAAACTATTCATGACTCAGTGGCAGGACGGTGTTGACAGTATTACTATCTTCAGTATTGCTGCTTTGTATACGTTTGCACATCCATTTGTTTTCCCAACATCCAGGTGGGAACCGTCTGTTTGATATACGACTCACAAGTCAAAACAAAAGACATCACGAGTGCCTATTACATAAATAATTTAGACAACTCTATGATTCTCTCCAGAAACCTAATGTAGCCTATTTGTGTTGGATTATAGCCAGACTCCCCGCCCTATAACTATAAAGACTAGAACGATGTCTTTTTACATATTAGTTATTGAAAAGACAAGCATCGCGTCGAATGTAAGCTTAATAATTATGCTGCAGCCTGTTTACAACAAGGATCAACACTGTCCAATGAGAATGATGATTAGTACCCAGCTTGTAGAAATCAATACTTCCTTGAAGAAACAGCCCAGATAATGCCCAATCAAATAACATTTCCTTATTAATATAAGCATTTGACTGTTTTCCAACTATGCACGAGGAGTAGGCTAGGGTTTAATTCACGCATGCGCCAGAATGCGGCAAAACAGGGACTGCAATGGATGACTCGCGCGTGCGCTTTATACGCCCACATAGAGTTTTGACAAAGAGCAATTACAAACCCTCCGACTGGCAGAAAATTCTGGAACTTGTACTGAGGTGGAGCTGGTTCTCAAACTGGATCTTGAGCAAGCCACACAATCTTCAGATTCAGTCTTGAGTCTTCCCAGGAATTGCATGGACTTTCTGGATATGCCTAGATTCTTATTATTTATGGAATTGAACTAATAAAATGTAATTCGTTGACAGTGCTTTTGGGATTGGATTTGGGATTGATTGCACATTGGAAATACAAATGCGCACTTTAGGCCTATACAGTATGGTTGCATGTTACAATAAATGAATCCCCTGGATACTTGGACACCAAATGTTACTTTTCTCCGCTCCTAAACAACTCAAGACGGTTTGGCAAATTTCTAAGGACACGAAGACACTTACTTTTTTATTTTTTTATTTTTATTTTTTTATAAGTAATCTATTAATTCGACAGAGGAAACGACGGGTTTGTAAACAAAAAGGGACAAAATGTGGAATGCGTTTGAGAGAAATGTTTTGTCCATGTAAGTCTGAGCGCATGAAAACATCCTGCACAGCCTCAACGTGAAGAATTAAACACTCAGATTAAATACCAGAGCGATTTACGCGCCACACACAGATCACACTCGATGTTCTTGATTGTTCAGATGTTATTTTTTGGCGCCAGTTATCAATAGAATGTTATTTGAAATATGACGCCATTTTGAGCATAACCAAGTGTAGACAAAAACCAGCATAACAAAAGAAATGACAGTTCCGCGGCCATTTTGTTTCCAGTTGAGCTATTTTGGGTTCAAGTTCAGTAACAGTTTAACTTCTTTTGCGCGTGGGTGCTGCTTCCAAGGAATTGACGGAACTAAATTGTTATAAAGGGCTTAAAAGATGTTAAAAGCCATGCGTAATTATTTTATAACTTTAATTGCTACAACTGTTTTTGTTGTATTAGTTAGCCTATCTATTATAGATCATGCTTATAGGTGACTTGTAAATAAGCTACAACTGACCAACTGTACAAAATTTGACCAAATCAAGTTATCCTAGATAGGCCTAATAAAAAAAAAAACTGTGGCAAGAACTGAAATGTAATTCCATGACATTTAGACATTTGTGAAAAAATGAAAAATCACTCTCTAATTTTAGCTAGTTGGATTAAACATAATAACAGGCTATTTATTTCGGTATAGAGGGAATTCACCATATTGAATGGCTATATATTTATTATGATGGAAGGCATTCATATGAAGGCCTTCATTTTCATGCAGTAGGCCTACTAAAATAATGAGGATGCCTATTTAAGGACAGAACAGCATATCTCTTCAAAATACTTACATGTACATTTTTCAGATAAACCAGAGACCCTCATGGGGTTGTGTTTACATATGGTATTTACTGAAGCAGCAATGTTTGTATTTTTTCTAGAGAATATATATAACTGAGGTTAAGTGTTTAGTTTTCACTCAAGATCAAATCAGATTTTTCCAGTTTATTTTGTTCTCCCCGGTTTCCAGGTCTTTTTAATGGGCTGCATGTAGGTGGCATGCTGCAAAAAAAACAGTATGTTATTACATTTAATGCTCTTAATATTTCCCCACAAAATCGTATCTTTGGATGCTGTGGGGATCAGTGCTAACCTGATATATGGCTTCCAAAAGGTCTTGAGATGGTAACAGGCACGCAGCTTCACCAATGAAACAGATTAGAACATGGAGTACATCTGACCAACTGCCTACTGTAATCAGTAACACAAAAAGCCCACCCAGTCGCACAACAACTGTATTGAGAATCTGCTGGCCAGGCTGTTGATGGCGATCCTCTGAAATAATAAGTATAGATTCAGGATTAGACTGTTGGCATGAAATGTCCTTATGCTCTGGTCAAATGTTTGGGATTAGTGTTTTTTTAAAGAAATTAATTGGCCAACTTTATTTAGCAAGGACACATTAAATTGATTAAAAGTCACGGTAAATACAATTATATATATGTTACAAAAGACTTCTATTTAAAATAAATGCTGTTCTTTTGAACTTTCTATTCATCAAAGAATACAGAAAAGAATGTATCACATGTTTCCACCAAAATATTAAGCATGCAGCACATTATTTTTGCATCAATAAAAATAAGAAATTTTTCTTAAGCACCAAATCATTATTTTGATTTCTAGGATCATGTCACACTGAAAACTGCTTAAAATTCAGTTTCGCCATCAGTTACAGTTTAATATATATATATAATCTATTATATAACAGAAATAGAAAACATATTTTAAATTGTAATAACATTTCACAGTATTACTGTTTTTACTGTATATTTTATCTAATAAATGCAGCCTTGGTGAGCAAGAGAGTTCTTTAAAAACTCTTTACCAACCCCAAACCTTTGTATGCTATAGGCCTATAATACATAGCCTAATATGATTTTCTGAATTCATGAATATTCTTTGCCAAGGGAATTCCAGTGATTAAACCACGTAGTCTTGTAGTTTTTGTTTGTCTTACCATTCATATACACAACCAGTAGAGTGTAGCAGATTGTGAGTGGGGTCCAAAATCGTAGAGCCTCAGTGGTTGACAGAAAGTGTGTGTTTATATTTGATATGGCAGCGATTCCAGATACACTAAACGTTATAATTAGGGCACTGCAGAGCCAGGTTAATATAGAAGTGCCAGTGGTTAAGAGTCCAATGCAAAGTCCACAATAGCGCTGTGCGCTATGTACTGGATACATTGTCTTTATATGATGCCATACTTTGCTGCATCGGCTAGCCAAGAACCAGCTCAGTCCAACTGCAAGGAGGAGGCTTAGCCAGCCTTGCGGTGCCCCCTCATGGAGGAAATTTAGGCTGCAGGTTAGTGCGCAGCCCAAAGAGAACTGGCACAGGACAAGCTGCAGTAACAATGGGTCAATGATCGAGTCCTAAACAAGAAGAACAGGGGTGATTTATCTAGAATGATAACGAGTTGTCACAAATGAAATGTCACAATGAATTTTGTTCGTACTGATCCTCCTGTGATCCGTGCTGAAATGGCTCTAAGGGAGAACTCTAAAACTACCAGTGATGCAACACGGGACCCCACAACCGAAAGAACCACCGCAAGGATCCAGAATTGGATTTTCTCTTTTAGTCCACCATTAAGTCTGTTCTTTTGTATAAGGTCTGTTTCAGGATCTGCAATACTTAAAAGGACAGACAAGTGAAATGTGCAAAAAACATCAACACAAAAACTTCTCCATCCAAATGGAGATAGGCTATCTTCAATCATGGGCTAAATAGCATAACTAATAGGCCCATAGGCTACTTACCTTTGTGCCTCAACAAACAAGTACGTTTTTAAAAGGTTACGAAGGACCCAGATCGCACAAGCTCCCACAAGCCCTGTGATTTAACACAACAAAAGTTTAGAAACATTGTTTAATGTTTTTGAAAGAAGTCTCTTATGCTCACCAAGGCTGCATTTATTTGATCAAAAATACAGTAAAAACTGTAGCCTAATATTGTGAAATATTAGGCTATTACAAATTAAAATAAATGTTTTCTATTTAAATATATTTTAAAATGTAATTTATTCCTGTGATGGCTACATTTCCAGTGTCACATGATCTTTCCGAAATCATTCTGATAACTGATAAGAATGTAAAATGTGTACCTTGAAATGCAATGTAGTGCTTTGGATAAAAGCGTCTGCCAAATGCATTAATGTAAATGTAAATTATAATATCCTGATTTGCTACTCAGGTAACATTTCTACTGTTATTCTACTATTGGCCTATTCTTATTATCAATGTTGCAAACAGTTATTCTGCTTAACATTTTTGTTAAGCAGGGTGATACTTTTTTATTAGGATTCTTTGATTAATAGAAAGTTCAATGAACCGTTATTTATTTGCATTTATTAGATTTATTTATTAAATGCATTAATGTATTTATTTATAAATGTCCTCACTGTCACTTTTTATCAATTCAATGCATCCTTGATTAATAAAAGTATTAATTGCTCTCTCTTTTTTAATCTTACCACAAATGTTTGCATATCATACAAAAATGTTAAGCAGCAAAAACTGCTTTTAACATTGATAATAACACTGATAATATTCACATTGAAATACAGGAAAAACAGTAATATTGTGAATATTGTAATGTGTCAATGACATTGACACATTATAATATTCACAATATTACTGTTTTTACTGTATTTTTGATTAAATAAATGTGCATATACAGTGCTGGTCAGAATTATTTGCCCCCTTGGTAAATATGATCAAAGATGGCTGTAAAAAAATAAATCTGCGTTGTTAATCCTTTTGATATTTTAGTAAAAACATTAGCAAAAATCTAACCTTTTATTGAAGTAAAAGAATTGAACGTGGGGGGACAATCACATTATGAAATCAATGTTTTTCTCCAAAACACATTGGGAACAATTATTTGCCCCCTTTTATTAAATACTTTTTGCAACCTCCTTTTTCCAAGAGACCAGCTCTGAGTCTTCTCCTATAATGCCTGATGAGTTTAGAGAACACCTGACGAGAGATCAGAGACCATTCCTCCATACAGAATCTCTCCAGATCCTTCAGATTCCCAGATCCATGTTGGCGCTTCCTCTCTTCAGTTCAGCCCATATAGGGTTCAGGTCAGGGACTGGGATGGCCACTGCAGATGCTTGGTTTTGTGCTCAGTGACCCATTTTTGTTTTGATTTTGATGTTTGTTTTTGGATCACTGTCCTGTTGGAAGAGCCAAACATTGGCCCGTTATAAGATTTCTAGCAGAGGTGCAGATGAAACAAAAAAAATAGCTTTTTTGGCAGCAAACACTTAATATGGGTTTGTTCATACAGGGATAAAAAAGTACCCCGTGTAAAATGAAATACTCTGCTGTATCTTTAATGCTGTGGACCTAATTTTCAGCCAGAGGTCCTGGACATCTTGTTCAGATACATGGCATCATGGATTCGATCAAATACCAACAGATAACAAAATCAAAACCTGACAACCTCTGCTAGAAATCTTAAAACGGGCCATGGTTGGATCTGCAACAGGACAGTGATCCAAAAACAAACATCAAAATAAAAATAAAAATGCGTCACTGAACACAAAACCAAGCATCTGCAATGGCCATCCCAGTCCCTGACCTGTCCTGAACCCTATAGAAAATGAGTGGGCTGAACTGAAGAGAAGCACCAGCATGGATCTGGGAATCTGAAGGATCTGGAGAGATTCTGTATGGAGGAATGGTCTCTGATCTCTCGTCAGGTGTTCTCTAAACTCATCAGGCATTATAGGAGAAAACTCAGAGCTGTTCTCTTGGGAAAAGGAGGTTGCAAAAAGTATTTAATAAAAGGGGGCAAATAATTGTTCCCAATGTGTTTTGGAGAAAAACATTTATTTCATAATGTGATTTTCCACCCACTTTCAATTCAATAAAAGGTTAGATACAATGTAGACAGAGCAAGATTATACAAACAGATCATTTTCTTTTTATTACATTATTAGATAAAACAATACATTATTATCAATATATATATCAGTTAATTTCTTTATTATTTGAAATTTGTGGCAGATCGTTCCTTTCATGAGTTACCTTGTAAAACACTGTGTAAAGGAATAGCACTTGGTGTTAGCCACGTAGGAACGCTTGGCACAAACCAGGAAATGAAGGACAACATGTCTATGAAAGTTAGAAATTGTTTAATGCACCAATAATTGTTTAGATACTAGTCAAATTGGCCACACACACAAAAAAATCTTAACAAATAAAAATCATCAATATCACTGACCTTTTTTTGTGTCGCGTTGTTTGCGAACCTCACTCACGTGAAAGACCTTTATTATTTGCAGATATGAGAGTTGGAGGTTTGGCAGGTCTCAAAGGTCACTTAGGCCTTGATCACTTTTTACAACTGTATGAAGAATTGATTTATTGTAGCCACAAAGTTTTAATCTATTAATGTATTTCAAGAGTTTTTTTTTCTTCTGAGGTCTGTTCCTGTGATTCAAAGTTGTGAAACTTAAAAAAAAAAAAAAAAAAAAAAAAAAAATGTATGCCCTCTGGTGGGGTTTATTTCCATTTCCGGATACAGATAACATGTATGTCCCATTGATTTCATGAAGGCACTTGAACTTTACCCTGCATACAAGAGTTTTGAATGTGTTCACTTAACAGCTACCACCCATTTACACTACATAAATATGATATTCTTTTGGCCATCAATGCACAGGTATAGACACAATAGAAGCAAATAGGATTACATGTTCAACATTAATAATTAATAATAATATTAATTTATTTAGGAAATTGTAATTGTGTTTCCTGGACTAGGAAATAGAGACACTCCCTGTGAATCTTTCATATTGTGAACCGTATTGGAATAGGACAGTCAGCCATTAATTTGCAGTAATGTTCCTCAAAAGTAGCATCCTCTTCTGCATTGAAGTGATTCTTCCAGTCACCAACCTCACCTATAAAATACAACAAATACAAATTGAGAAAAAGAATAGGAAAAGTAATTCAGGCCAAGTTGCTCAATTGTACTTTAAAAATAAAATGAAAATAACCTTTTCTCATGAACTCCGAGGCGGTACGATCAAAGATTGTGTCTGGGATAGTTGAGTAGTTTGCCATGGGGTTTTCTCGCATAGCAGAAAAAGCAGTCATTTGCACAATGCGATCTATCGCACTTTTTGATAACTGCTTTCCGAGGAATTGAGCAATGTGGGTTACTTCACGAACAGGGTCCTGAAATTACAAATAAATAGTCAAGTCAAGCCACCTTCATTTATATAGCGCTTTTAACAATAGATTGTTTCAAAGCAGCTTTACAGTGATAATAGGAAATGCAAGTAACAGAGATTGTTTTGGCTTTACAGCAGCTCTAAAATCAAGTTATTGTCCAGCTAAAGTTAGTTCTGATTGATTCACTTCCGTTGCAAAGATCATTAGTAAGTCAAGTAAATTATAGTCAAACTAAGACTGAAGTACTGAGACTTTTTTAATATACGTTTTGTAGAAAGCAGATTGACCTCTTTCATGTCTTCGAAGAATGTGTAAAGGATTTTCTTGTTTTGCCTTTCCCTCCAGTATCCTTTAACATGGTCATACCAGGATCCCCAACCCACTGAAAAAATAATTCAGTCATTAGTTCATTCAAGTCATCATCATTTAGTCCATTCATGTTTTACACAACACAGAATAAGGTAATTGGTGTAATGAATGAATGAATGGTCTATGCAGCATGACTCACATTGCCCTGTCATGAACTTTTCCAGATATTGTTGCCAAGTGCCGGGCTCTGGCTGGTTAAGATTCATGCGGTCAAAATGATAATATGAAACCACGGTGTCTTTCGGATTACGGGCCATATATATAACCTATGGAGAAATGCAGTTGGTATTCACGTAAAATATTTAATATTTTTCAGTACAGCCCACAAAAACTTATTTTAACCTTGCAACCAGCCTCCCAGAAAGAACAAGGCACAAGTTGGATAGGAAGATGAGTCTTGATAACACGAGGCGGATCCATAACCTCCAGCTTAGTTATACCTAAAACATTACAGAGTTTAATCATTTAAGATGCAGAAAGGATACCTCGCATATATATACATATATATGTGTGTGTGTGTGTTTGTCTGTTTGTGTTCTTGTATATATGTCCTATGGTTTATGACACAAATGTGTATAATGACATAGGTTGACTTCCTGCTCTGCTACTGTTCGGACGCTCTTGCTTACCGCTCCGCACTTTGCTCAATCGCTTTTATATTTTTATATTTTATCTCCTTTTATCAACTAATTTTAACTTCAGCTAATCAGCACAGTGCTCAAACGCTTGGATTACTACAAAAAAGCAGAATACTTTTATACAACCAGCCTCCCACTGCTTACATTCCGGGGAAGAAAACACAACTGCCTACATTCTAAAGGATAAGAGAAAATGCCTCTTCTGGAATCTACTTGCTGCACTAACTGCCAGAGACTTTTACAAAGGATTGTAGTTCTTGAAACAAAGTTACTTGTGGGACCACCAAACCAGACGGAACACACAACAGAGCTTCGTCATGGACGCCCTCAGCATACAGCCGGTGAGTCCCATGAATCTAGTCCTCCTCGACAGGCCATACTGAGTGTGGAGAAACAAGCCGATCGACTTACAAATCGATGGCAAAAACAGGGAGCGAGACCCAAAGGCACTCGAGACATCAGATTGTCACGAGCATCACATATTGCCGCAGTAGCCTCCTCTACCCCAGATACGGCTCTGACAAGGATTGCAAACACTGGTCTCCTACCACCGCCTATACATCTTGAGAACAGATTTGAAGTATTAATGAATGAGGAATCCCTGAATGTGATGAATGTGATCAAACACAGACTGAACCAGCCAGTAGCTAACACTGCTAACTGGCACTCAAGGTCGAGCAGACAGCGGCACTCAGCTCAGAGCGCAGCCGAGCCCAGGACTCTGATAGTGGGTGACTCCATAATCAGAAACATTATTAGCAGGGATACAACTACGTGCTGCCTTCCACAAGCAACGACTTCTGATGTAAACAGGGAACTTAAGAACATTCTGACGAAACATAAGACTGCAAATCGACTCATCATTCATGTGGGGAAAAATGATATTCATAAAGAGCAGTCAGAACTCCTTAAGAAGGATTTCAATGAACTTTTTGAAACACTTAAAAGACTGAAAGTACAAACATTCATCAGTGGACCACTCCCAGCAAGAGGAACAAACAGGTTTTCACGGTTGCTTGGGCTCAACACATGGCTGCAAAAAACCTGCAATATAAAAGGAGTAAACTTCATTGACAACTTCAATCTTTTCTGGAGTCAGAGGCAACTGTTTCAACAGGATGGCCACCACCCAAACAAACTTGGTTCAAGAGTGCTAAAGGACAATATCTACTTCTCCATCCATCATCCTTCTGCAGTGTGTGCCAATCCACTCAACCTGAATGGCACACACACACCTGGACACAGTATGAATGACCACAGGACTTCACTTCAGCACGTGGATGGAGATGCGGTTGACATATCACACAAGGACAATGATAACACCACTCAGCCAAAACAGCCACTGCTCACGGACACAATCTCAGCTGAGCCCTGCCCACAGAGCTCACCACAGACAGACTGTGACATACTAGAACTGCTCCAAGTTTCAGCTCCCAAGGACGACTTGCTGGAAAACCAGGACAGCATTTTACAGCCTCCAATAACACCAGAGAAACAGCCCCCTCCAGCCTCTACCCTCTCACCAGACACATTATCCCTATCTCCAGCATCTCCACAGCATCTTCTGTGCTTCTCAGAAAAAATGGAAAAACTGGTGTTTGCTGGAACCAAACTATCTGCAAGCCCCCAGACAACCAAAAAACGGCAGGCCCCAAAACCACGAAAGCCTGCGGGCTCACACCCTCCTCTATCGGCTCGAGGTGAACCAAAAACAACTGATACCAGCTCTCAGTGATATGTGCCGGGTGCCCGCTATGATAACAGTAACTTTCTCAAATGTTTACAGAACAAGCGGGAACCCAGTGTGCCTGTATCTTTCTCTATTGCTGTTCGATTACATGATAGAAAGTCTAAGGCCTTCAAAAGCCGTACAGCAAACCCATCTAATCTGGTGCCTATTACACGCCAAACTAAGACAAAAGTAACAAAAAGTAAGACTGTTAAGTTAGCACTTTTAAACATCCGCTCACTTAAAAATAAATCACTTCTAGTCAATGACTTAATAACCACATACAACCTGGATTTTATGCTTCTAAACGAAACTTGGCTAGAAGACAGCTGCAGTTCAACAGTCCTCAATGAAACAGCCCCTCCTAACTTTACTTTTATGAGTGTCTGCAGAGCGGGTAAGAGAGGTGGAGGAGTAGCTGCTCTTTTTAAAGATGTCTATCAATGTAAGCAAACATCATTTGGTAACTACCCCTCTTTTGAATATCTGGGTATTGTGTTAAAAGGTGCCCCACGCATTTTACTTATCATTATTTACAGGCCTCGAAAATACTCTCCAGCCTTTGCTGAGGACTTTACAGAACTGTTATCAACAATTTCCTCAGAGTTTGACTGTTTTGCTATTACTGGAGTAAATGTAGTAAATACAGGTAGTTATAAAGCATTTAGTAGTGGTCAGTTAACTATTTTGTGAGCTAATCTAAAGTGAGTACTATTCATGCCTTGTAAAGCATTTATAAAGGAGATTTAAAGGCGCATCAATCTTCTAAACAGTAAAATGTAACAAACACAACACAGTGATACAGAACATAGAAATATTTAACAGCCTTTAAATCTCCTTTATAAATGCTTTACAATAGTCCTCCTCACTTTAGATGAGCTCACAAACATAGTTAACTGACCACTACTAAATGCTTTATAACTACCCGAATTAACCCTGAATTACAGCATAAATACATGTTAATAAAGCATTTAGTAACACACTAAGTAACCATCACTATATGTCTGAATAATAAGATGTATGAATGTACATTTAAATAGTTTATTAATCATTTACTTACACGTTCTAAGTAATCTTATGAACCACTGAAAACTCTTAAATAACTGGTTTATAAAAAATGCAATTATTCATTTAGAAATAATAAATTGATCATTAATAAAGGATGAAAATACAATTATTAAATAAATTATAGATATGCTTGTAAATCAAGAAGCAAGCATTTATAGCTGTATTTATAAACTGCTTATTAATGTCTATTAATGCTTTATGAATGATGAATTAACTGTTTACTCATGCTTAACTAATGATTATTAGCGTGTAGTTATTATAAAGTGTTGCTAGGACCTCAATATATTGCAGATATGCTCACTGAATATAAACCTAAAAGATCACTCAGATCATTAGGATCACATCAGCTAGAAATACCAAGGGTTCGCTCTAAGCATGGAGAGTCTGCTTTTAGCTATTATGCCAGCCGCAGCTGGAACCAGCTTCCAGAGGAGATCAGATGTGCTCCTGTAGTCACTTTCAAATCCAGACTCAAAACACATCTGTTTAGCTATGCATTTACTGAATGAGCACTGTGCCACTGTTCGTCCGACTGTTTTTACTGTACTTTATTTTATTTTTTATTCTAAACTTTTAATTATTCTTATTTGTTTTGATTATTTTAATTTCTTCTATGTAAAGCACTTTGAATTACCATTGTGTATGAAATGTGCTATCTAAATAAACTTGCCTTGCCTATAGGTATTACAACGTATTCATGGTTTACAAGGACACTTTCAAATGGCTTAAAAACATACAAAACTGTGTTTTTTAATAAAAAAGGTTTAAGGGTGTTGGTGTAGGGGGATATAAGTTTGTACAGTATAAAACCATTACACCTATGGAGAGTCCCCGTAAACCACGTGTGTGTGTGTGTGTGTGTGTGTGTGTGTGTGTGTGTGTGTGTGTGTGTGTGTGTGTGTGTGTGTGTGTGTGTGTGTGTGTGTGTGTGTGTGTGTGTGTGTGTGTGTGTTTAAGTTGCTAAACAGTTTTTGGTTCTATGAAACATACCAGCATTTAAACCGTCTGCAGAGGTCATCTCTAAGAAGGGCATGCGCACCTGAGTGGGCGCGCGCCTGCACTTTTCCACATTTCCTTCATTCAGGATGGTATCCACTACTTCCTGTGTCCATGTGGTTCCTTTTACAGACGATATGATTTTATTATTTAAATTAATTTGTGTTGTTTTCGTCATGTTGTTTTCTTCTTCTGTACTCTACCTGCTTTAGGATATGTGGCAATGAGCAAATCCTCTTTTGATGCCTGGAAGTGCTCCACTCTTGCCCAGTACTTCACCACCCGCTCTGGTAATGGGATACCCTGAACTTGACTCATCGCTTCACGTGTTGTCCCATCCATATTTCCCTTAATTAGCTGTGATTAAGTTTCATAGTTATTAACCAAAACATAGAATGTTTTTATAAGATCTTTTGTGAGTCCATGCGTCATCGCTCGATATGACATTTATTATGCTGTTGCTAAACGATTTAGTACAAAGCGAAACACATTAAATAATTAATAATAGGCTATACGCTGTTTTTTTAATGAGAAATTAATTCCTATTAGCAAATACCTTAAGAACTTTAGACTGGAGCCGAGCGGTCACGTGATATTTGTATTTTAGACGTTTCATTTGGTCGGTACTACTAAACAGGTTTGTACCATAAACAGGGTGGTACACATTCTGCTTGTCAACGAAATGCGCAGTAGCCTAGTGCGCACTCTCGGTCTGCTTTAGTCTGCCTGAAACAATTTTAAAACCATTTTTATCTTTATTATACGATATAATAAGATGCTAAAACTACAGAATAAGACTAAAAAATAGTATTGACATTACCTATAAAATAATTAATATCCTTCAACTTAATAAAGTGCAAGAGCAGTTCATAAACTACTTAATAATAAACAGGCCTAAAGATGTAGGCTAATCTGAACAACAAACAGGCCTGTTTTATTTCTTTATTTGTTTTAATAAATGAGTAGTGTGTTCTGTTTTGTTGTTGTCGTTTGAACTGATGCACTGCATTGAGTTCATTGTATTGGTACTTACGTCTGTGCTGTTTATGATGAATAAAAGTACATGTGCATTTTCCCTGTCCATCAGTTAAAAATCTGGCATTCCATGAATAGGGTAAAAACAGAAACGGAAACCTTTTTTCTTTCTTCATTTGACGGTTAAGTAAAATAGGGAAAAACAGTAGGCTATTATATGAGCTATTTTATTTAATAATCATTTAGAAAACAACGGTTTTCTGTGTGTAAACTTCCCAAATTTGGCTCTTGAAATGAATTTCTACTGTCCACACGCTCCTGTACAGTCAGTAACTCTATCCTCCCTGCAGCAGGTGGCGCTACTGTGTTAGACTTTAGCTCACTAAGCGGCTCACTGACGCTGTAGAGGGAAATGTGCGTGAGCGTGTGGACTGAGGGAAGCCCCTAGTTAGCCAAGAGTGGAAACATGGATGATGAGGAGGTCGCCGAGAGCTGGGAGGAGGCCGCCGACAGTGGGGTAAATATGGGCTAGTTGCGCTTTCTCCGCGCTTGCACAAACTGTCTTTTCAGTGTAGACAGCCTCGCGTGGAGCTTTAGGGTGATTCTTGCCACTGGCTTCATGCTAGCTCGCTAGTCACGCCTATGTATTTAGAGTTGGGTGGTAGGCCGCAGTTAAAGGGAAACTGGTCCCAAAACAGATGTTGTGGGATATTTATACTGTAAACCAGTAGGTAATAATAGAGGCGATTTTGATGATGGCAGTTGGTGAAGCGGCACGTTCGTGAGTCACGTAAAACAATTTGTGTTTTAAGCAAAGGACATAAACTACCTGCTAACTAATGCTAGTTAGCCGGTGCAACTTCTGATGCTTAAAAAGGGGGAATCTTTCTGTGCCATCTCGTCAGAAACCAAAGATGGCTGCCGAATGCACTGAGACCTGTTGGCTGTCATATATAAAGTATTGTAATCGCGTCTTAATATGTGTGGACAGAGTTGATTTCATGTGGAAATATCGAGTATATTGTGGGATAGTTCCCATTCAGATAGTCAACAGGCGGTTTTCACGAGTTTTCAGTTTCTCTTGGGGTCTGTTGTAAATGTTACGTGGGGTAATGTGTTTGCAAATCCACCAATCTTTATTTAATAAAAGAAAGAAAAACTTTGAATCACTTTACGTAAATGTTTTCATCTAGATTATGTTGAGGCAGAATCTTATTGACTGACAGACAGTTTCAGCAGTCTCCATTCACTTTCATTACAATTTTTTTCAATACATTGAAAGTAAATTGTGACTGAGAATGATATTCTGTCTAACATTTTCTGTTGTGTTTCACAGAAGAAAGTCATACAGGTTTACAATGGAGTGTATGATTAAATGATGACAGAATTTTCAATTTTGTGTGTACTGTCCCTTTAACTGTGCCCTTTAACAGAAAAAGTCAATTTGTGTGAATTGGTTTACCCTGTCTCCGGTTTTCTTCGCTCTGATTTAGTGAATATATTTGATAAAGCAATATGTAATTTATCTGCTTTCAAATATTGAACTCAGAGACTTAATGTTCTTAAAGGTTTGGCAGTAACGTCTACACCCCTGCCATTAGGCTCTGTAAATACGTTTCCATCCTTTTGTATATTCCTCTGTCTCTGTTTAGAAAAGCCTTATATTGTCTACCTACCCAAACAGCACTATGTAATTTGGCCCTGTCATTAATTTAGCCATGGCACTATGGATGTATAAATAACTTTGTGAAATTGAAAACTTGCTGCTGCTTCAGAGGCCCCTCCCTGAAGCAGCCTGCATGTACTGTTTTGAAAGATTGCTACATTTCTCCAGTAGAAGTTTTAATTTTTTTTTTTGTCTTGACATTGAACTTAGGAAATGGAGAGAAGACTAGAGGAAAAGCTTCGAATCAGTCAGAAAGAAAGGTATGTCAGGTCATTCCTGTGTTTTGTGTCCATGTTTTGCTCAATGCGCCTTGATTTACTTTAATAATCATAAAAATGTTATGCTCTTCCAGACTTTCAAGTGGCAGTTCGAGTCGTTCTCTGATGAGAACAGCAATCGTAATCCAGGATGACTCCCTCCCCGCGGCACCCCCACCACAGATTCGTATTTTGAAGCGACCCTCCAGTAATGGATCTTTAGGATCGTCTGTGACGCAGACTCGACCCTCCCCGCAAGTTAAATCCTTAGCTCAGCGAGAGGCAGAATACGCAGAGGCCAGGAAGAGAATCCTTGGCAGTGCTACTCCTGATGACACACCACAGGAGAGACCCATTTCAGACCGGTAAAATACTGACATGGTGAATAGAGCAAAACTTGTCATGGTTCTGGAAGCTAAAAGTATTTTTTTTTAATGATAATGTTTAACCTTTCCCATGCATTCTCACCATTAGATCTGAGATTGTGTGCTATATATGCTTCTGTAGAAGCCAGAAGATAGTTTGATTTCAGCTTCATAATAGCGGTATCTATCTATGTGTGTGTGTTTATACACTGTTCCAAGTTATTATGGAAGTGACATTAGTAGGATAAGATCTTTCTGAAGATGAAATGGTGCAATATCTTGCAAAAGGCATGAAAACAACTAATATCTTGCAAAAAATGAATAGAGGTTATCGAATTATCAAAAGATTTGTAAGTAGTTTAGAGCACAGAAGAACTTCGTCAGATAAAGGTTAGTTATAAGGAAAGTTTCTGTCAAAAAAATTAAGTGTTTTAAAAGGACAGTTATGAAAAAGCCACTTTTGAGCAGCAAACAGATATTTGAAGTCGCTGGAGTCCCACGAACCTCTCCATGAAATTTTTTTTTGAAAATGTATTTCTAAACCACTGTAAACGTTTCACTTTGTGAGCTTTGGTTAGGGATGGCAGAAATGCCACTATGCACAACTGACAGCCCCATATTTTGAGGCTTTTCTCTCAAAATATACACTGCCGTTCAAAAGGTTGGGATCAGTAACATTTTTTTTTTTTTTTAACAAAGAAGTCTCTTATGCTCACCAAGGCTGCATTTATTTGATAAAAAAAAATATATATATATATATATATATAAAAAAAAAAAAAAAAAAATATATCAATACTTTTATTCAGCAAGGATGCATTAAATTGATCAAAAGTTACAGTGAAGACATTTATAATGTTACGAAAGATTCTGTTTCAAATAAATGAAATAGAACTTTCTATTCATCAAATAACCCTGAAAAAAAACTTTTCAAGATTGATAATAATAATGAATGTTTTTGAGCATCAAATCAGCATATTCAAATGATTTCTGAAGGATCATGTGAGACAGAAGACTGGAGTAATGATGCTGAAAATTCAGCTTTGCATCATAGGAATAAATAGCATTTTAAAATATATTCAAATAGAAAACTGTTATTTTAAATTGTCATATATCACAGTATTACTGTATTTTTAGCCTTGGTGAGCATAAGATATTTATTTTGTGTGTGTAAATATATTTATTTCCCTGTGCAAATATGTAAAAGCAAAATATGTAGTTTATTTACCATAGATTTTTTTTTTTTATTCAATTAAATTCCCAGCGTTTCATTAGAGAATGGTACACAATTTTCACATACTTTTTGTTTCCATTCAAAGTTTAAGTTGTAATTTGTCCTGGAGCGGATTTTTGTTAATGGTTTAGAACTATTCTGGTTCTAATATCTGAAGAGAATTAATGCAAAAGTACTTCCAGAACCAAGGATGCAGCAATTTTGTTATTTAGGAATAGCTGCTTTTAAATGTCAGAATGCTTTTGATATTTTTGATTTTATATTTTCCATATTGTCTATCCTCAATCAGATCTCCACGTGGAAGCAGCCATACACTTTCAGAGGAAAACCGATCAGGAAACCATGTTGTTCGACAGCCAGCAGGTCCAGATGGTACACAAGGCTTTCACCAGCGCAGATAGGAATAGCAGCCTTTCCTGGGAGGAAGCGAGAGGCGATAGTGAAATACGGTCTCCCAAAATACAGTTGAAAATCGAATCATTTTTATCAATATTTAGGATGTGGGATGTTTTTCAAATAAGTATAAAACCCTCTCGAATCCAGCACAGCGTGTGTGGAATGTAACGGGGGAAAGAAACATGATCCAGAGGAGCGGATGGGGAACGTTCCCTGCTTTTTACACTGTGATGAGGACCTCGCTTCCGGACACTGCTCACTGTGATGTCCAGCCCCCACCCCTCAAAATCAAAAGGAAAATTGAGAGAATCTAAACAGAACTGCAGGACTATTGTCCCTTCCTCACGTAACTCAGCCGTCACTGGCAGCCAGCCTGAAAAGTCATGCAAGCAAGCCCTCTGAAGAGACATTTGAAATGGAAGATAACAAGTGCTGGATGTGCTTGAACCGATAAAAGGATGGTATGAGGCACCAGCTTCCTTCAGCAATAATTCTAGAAATATCACTTATTATTCAGACCTCCCTTCCACACTGTATTCTCAAGCTTTTGTATTGCTTGAGTTTGTCTTTTGTTTTAATTTTGGTTATTACTGGCTCGGTCTGCTAATTGCCATATGTTTTTAAATGGGTAAGAAACAGTGAGGGTATAATGCGGAAACTTAAGCTGACTTTAAGTTCTTTATTGTTTACGGATATTTTTTGTTGTTGTTGTTGTTTTACTCATGAGTCTTCCTCTGACTGTCCTGATTTCTACATGAAGTAAAAAGAATAAAAACAAAAACTAGTCCAGGATTAAATGATTGCAGCAAATGGCATTTTTAACCCATTTCTATGCCTTTTATATGATTTTAAAAAGGTAGTCAATTTTAGATCTGTGCATTTTTAAGTGAAATCCAACAGAAGGATGAGTTCTGTAAATGTTTGTTGTGCTGGGAAGAACCAAAGGGAGTGAGGGGGGGGGGGGGGGGGGGGGATGATTTCGCTGGCTCCCCTCGCCTCACTTCCTCATCAGATCTGCTGTTGGCCATTTTCTTTTCTCTCCTCTCTCTCTCGCTTTTTTTTTTTTTACTTATGTAGGAACTCAGGTTGTTGTGAGGAAATATGAGCGAATGAATGAAGTTGTGTATCAGTGAATAGGTTTTTAACTGAATGATGGTGCAATGTTAAGCTTACATGAAGTATGGCTTCAAGATCATTTGAAAAACACCTCTATGACTGGATTACAGAATATCCTATAAGAGATTATTTAACTTTATTGAAACCTAAGAGAAAAGCGTCACACCGGTGGCTTAACAACGCAACTTTATTGGAGTGTTAAGTCAGTTGACTTAATTGCTTTGGCTCTTGCAATACAATGTCTATACATGAAGAGCCATACTACCTTTCCTAACTGTAACTCCTTGCTTTTTTTCTTTTTCTTTCTTTTTTTAGTTTCCTTCCTAAACCTTTGTCTCCTGTGCTGTCCAGGAATGATATCTCTGACTCCTGCAGTTTATGGAAATACCCTTTAATCTGATATGTCATTGTTCAACCATTGTGCTGTAACAAATCAGACCAGATGGGTGTCATGCCCTGCCTGAGAACACAGAAATCTGTCTGTAAATACTTTTCAAAATGCCCATTTAATAAAGACTTTTTAAATAATGTCTCTGGAAAACATTTTTGAAAATATTTAGTCTCCATGGAATCAAAATCCACAAATCTTTTTGTTTTGTTTTTCAGAGAATGTTGCAGTGTTTGTTATAAAGGATTTATCAATGCACATCATTTTTTTTCTTCAAATTATGCCCTCGTAATCTTTAATCAAAAACTCTAACCTAACCTTCCCTCTCTTTGACATTATGTCTGTTCTCGATGTGTCTCGGCTCTACTTTTCACTTTTAATTTAGTTTTGCCTCATGTTATCTGTTTATAGACATTATGCAAACTTGTCCTCTTCTAGAAATCACTATATGTATAATTTTATATAAAAAAGTCAGCTATAAATGAAAATTCACTATTTTCTAAATGGATGTTATTTATCAGGGGTCCATTCTTCATACCTCGCTTAATACATCTGAGATGCCAGATCTTCTAATTGTGATAACTGATCTCTGGCTTATTTGGCTCTTCAAACTAATTTGCAGATTTGATTAAAATATCTATATTACTGTGTGTTGTTCATTGGAAAGGGCAGATATATCGATACGCTAAGTCAAGATCAGCAATGCAGCGGATGGTAATATTTCAAATAATTAAAAAAGGAAACAGGCAAAGACATAAAAAGTTCTAATAGACAAATGAAATGTGTAAATATTTGTTAGACCATTCCAAATTATTTCAATTTTACATGATTTCTAGTATTTGAACAGGATTTTAACTTTTTTTCAGAGTCCAGAGTAGCCTGGGGGTAATTAGAAATTAATCTAATTTTAAACATGAAGTGGATAAAGCTTCTTAAGGGTCACTAAGATATGCAAGATGACTGCACCAAGCCACCGGTATAATAGAGTTCACAAACTGTAATGTAAGACTCTGTCAATTACAGATGATACAAAATTATTTTCAACTAATTTTAAAATGATGTATTTAAAAAAATATATATTTCTATTTGTAATTATTGTCGTTCAATAGGGTGCTCTTGTAAGAAAGTAGCAATGTCTGGGTCAGACTTTCACCTTTAAAAGGTGCAGTCAAATCATTGTTCATGTGAAACAAGCTGCTCCTGAGCAGGTTTCAGCTTATAGACTTGTTGCTATGACAGCAACTACAGGATGAGCATCGAAAAACCTAACAATCCTGGATCACGTCAAATTATCAACAGTAAAATCCGGATAACTGAAAAATCCACGTATAAAGAATGTTTTCCCCTTACATGTTTTATTTTTAAGAAATATTTTTGGCCTTGTAATTTTTTATTAAAAGTAATGACTGGACCCCCAGGTGAAAGCATCAGATTTCTCTATGGTGACATGGTGGATGTCTCCAATAATTTAGTTTGCTTAAACTCCACCCCCTTTCTTACAATCGACTGCAAGCATGCCACCAACCAATCAACAATGGCTGGATTAAACCAAGTCCCTGCCCGGTTAAAAAAAAAACACCTTTTTCAATAATCTTGTTTCACTAGGAAATAAAGTAGGCAGCATGTATGCATTACTTTTCCAATACGACAACTTGAATGCTTTGGTAGAACTTTTATGGTCCAAGAAAACAAAACAAAAAAACATGTGTTTACAACGACATTCTCAATATTTTGGATTAATGTTAGTAACTAAATCATTCAGTTCTCAAGGCAATATGCCCCTTTTTTTCTGTATAAACTGTTAATTTGCATGTATAAATTGGTAAATATGTTTCCACCCCTTTTCTAAATCATTCTGCACACCTTCAAAAGACTTAAAAGTTTTTAATTCTTCATTTATGTGTTATATTATAAGAAATACCATCACTAACAGTGATCTTTACTTCCCTCTTGTTACTGTATGATAAGTTTTTGCCATATATAATAGGCAGACAAGGACGGCATCTGGTACGCATACCTCACTAGTGCACTGAGAGGTGCTATCAGATCTTTGGCAACACTGGATATGTGCATTGGGAGATTTGAAATGCTAAAGCGGGAGGTAGGTGTTAGCTAACACCGATGACGGTGCACTGTGATGGGAACAAGGTCTGGTTCAGGGGCGGCCATGAGGGTGTTTCTGCAAGCTGGACGTCTAGACGTTTGAACTGCTTTTTGGACTCGCGTTTTGCCCTGAGGTTGCGAAGGCAGTTCAGGGCACCTTGGTCAATAAGAATCTGTAAAGAGAAATAACTTAACTGCAATTACTGATATTGGTTTCATGTTCCAGATGCCATGTGGTCATACATGTATTTGTCTGTACCTCAATCAAGTAGCATATGAAGAAGTTGAGTGCGGCTAAGGCCACCAGCAGTAGTTTATATCTCATATCAGTGATGTCATAGAGATTCAGCACACGATGGATGATGGTATGACGGAAAAGCACCAGCCAGCTCATAAGAGCAATGAAGAGCAGCAGTGCGACTAGGAACAAAACTAAGAAGAGGAAAAAAAACATTTCAAATAACTTAACAGACTACATCTACGTTGAGCATTTCCTTTAATAATGTCTACAAATTATTAAATGGTTATCGGGAGTGGGCCATTGAGAATTATTACTTATTCTATAATTCTTGATCACTGTGAAATCTAATTTGCATGATGAGGGGAAACACATTTACATACATACTATAGGCCAATTTTTTAACAAATTGTGATTGGCTTACTCCATTATTTTATACTGATGATAAAAGATTATCGATAAATGGGTTTACAGTGCATTTTCTGTCAGACAAGCCTATGTTTGCTGTGTTAAACAGGTCTAGGGTCAAGTTAAAATTCTCACCATTGTAATACAGTGGTTTTTTGTAAGGATATCCTTTAGTTATCACAATAGACATGATGATATACTGGAACCCCGATAAGGCAAATATACTTGTGTCCTCCATGTTGGGCAGGTTTGCAGCCCCTGTCCTAGTGGAATTTAGAGGCACATACCTGCAAACAGTCGCATAGTTATAACGCAACAGTTATGAGGGTGCAAGGATTTTTAATGTTACCTAAAAACTAGGTCACTTAGGTCAGTTGCTTACCAGTCTTGTGAGACAGTGATAAGTAGGGCAGACACTTGAGCTAGGATCAGCAGCACAGTGTGAACCAGTAAACTAGCCAGGACTGGCAGAGATAGAAGACTGGCAGCAGGTCGCTGGGGGTGGAGCTCATCGCTGGGACCTCCCCGTCCCATCACTATAGCCAAAACTGTCACCAAAACTAAATCAAAGAAGAGGAACTGCAAATCTCCCAAGTTTGTTTTCTCCTACAATAGATAAAAGAAATCATCAACTTGATTGTTAAAATGCCCAAATTACTTTAAAATTTAAAAATGGCAAACACTCACAGTGTAGAGAATAAGTACAGAGGCAAACTGAATCAGACTATACAAGGCCATGTACTTAAAAAGGCCGAATGATGTCACCAGTGAACACCTGCCTTCCCTGTTTTCAAACAAATTAGACATTAGATTTAGTTTTAAAAACAATACACATCATAATCGTAGTTTATTAAAAGTGAATTGTTATTTATATGTATTTATTATTGTAAATTATATATTATATATATATAAAAAATATTCAATTATTATTATCATGAAATATTTTAATTAATAAAAAAGTTAATAGTAATTATTTATTATTAATAAATATAAATACATTATTACACATATCAGTCAAAAATACAAAATGCAATAAATACTACTACTAAAATGTATTATTATTAAAACAATTGTTGATTAAAAATAAACATGATTAATATTACTGTAATTAATAGTAATAATTGTTGTAATAAAAGCAATTATTTTTATTAAGAATAATAACAAATAAATATAAATACACATAAATAAGTAAAATTATATGTTATAATAACTCAAGTCAAGAATACAATATTAATTATGCAGTATGGTAAAAGTGTGTTATTTACTTGATGAGTAAAGGCACACAGCTAATGTTATCAGACTTGGATGTGAAAGGAGACGCCACAGAGGCCTCAGCCTCAGACAATGACACACCGACATCTGCAGCCCTCAAGGCTCCACAGTCATTGGCTCCATCCCCACACATGCCCACCCTGTAACTGCACACGAGTCAGGAGATATGGACGTTATATTCAGTGTTACAAACCCCTGCTGAAAAATTCGACAATATTACTGTATTCATTGTTGATTTATGAGTGCAGTGTGGCCGACTCTGTCG